ATCAGCACAGATCAGGCACACTGTCTCTCGTTTTTATTCTACCCACCTCCCTGTTGTTCACTTACATAGGTCTTTTTGCATCCGATGTTCGACACTTGCATTGATTAATTTCCCTATCAATTTTTTGCTCCTAAATAAGTTCTCTGCCTTCACACACTACTGCCACCTAAGTTTTCACCTATTGTCCAGTTCCAGTATAGATCTTCCCACATTGTCCTGCTCTGCCGCAGCTCTGTCCCCGTTGTCCTGCTCTGCCGCAGCTCTGTCCCCATTGTCCTGCTCCACCATAAATCTCCCCTTGCTGTCAGGGTATAACTGCTACACAGTCAAAACAAATAAGTGTGGTTGTCACAATATTGTTACCCCAAATAATTTTCCAATTTTATTGCGAATCTGATGCTGTACTACTTTGATGAAGGTTATTATTTAAATGCCTTAATGCTTCAATATTTGAAAAGCTTGGATATGCAAATAAAAACTGTGATCAGATTTCTAAGATTGCAGTTCTGGTTGCGTGCAGTAATTTCTTAGTATTTCTAAACCGTATCTATTATATGTAACTGGGCTACTCAAAATTGAGTGGATTCGCTAACGTGACTAAGGAGAGACTATTTCTGGTGACAGGAGGAAACTGAGTTAAGATAGTGGCATAAGAACCAGAAGTAAGATGGGAAGCATTTTCTTTTGCACAGGTTGTTATGTTTGAGAGTACGCTGCTATTCAAAACAGATTCAGCGATAATTTACAAATGGACATTCAATAAATCCTTTAAAAGAAAGAACATACAGGAATTTGGGGTATGGGAAGGAAGTGAAAACAGCTTTAAAAAGATGAGTGTTGCACAAGTGGGCCAAATGGTTTTATTCAATGCTTCTGTGATTCTGTTGAATATAACACAGAAGTATACAGTTCTTGTGCATTCCTTTTCTGTCATGATTGGATAAAATCTTAAACAAATACAACATTATTGTCTAGATACAAATGTATTTATGAACTATACAAAAAAGTTACTAACTAGAAATTCAGCTAATCAAAGCACTCAGTGTGCACTTGTTAAAAGTATTTTCAGTCAAACATATGGTTCTTCAGCTCTTATGAGCCAAATGGTTCTAATGGAACCTAAACTGAGTATTGGTGAGTGGTTTATTGGTGTTATTTTATTAGCAAAAGTTAACATTTCAAACAGCAATAAGGCATTTTGGAAACAAAGATCTGAAAGGCTGATCGGTTACAAATGTCTGAAGAATAATATTGGCTGTCTATATCATTGAACATATCAATTAAGGTTCCTGCTGTATTGTTTTGTCTTATTTGTCCACCTAATCCATCACTGTAAAGCCAGGGAAGCACCTATCATGAAACAGGAGGTATTTGGAGGAGTGATTCTCTAACCCTTTTGAAGTATTAGGCATCTGTAAATCAAAAGACCCCAGTCATGCAAACAAAATGAGAAAAGTCCTAATGCTAATGTCATGGCAATTTCCCATCTTAGCATAAGGATTTTGTTTCTTGCACGCATCTTTATGCAGGTTCACTAATTTAACTTAGTCTAATTGGCATCCAATTGCTCTTTAGATTTCTATAGCAAAGAGGGTATTTAATGGTTTGGCCTGAATTCAAATCTGGGTCTATTGAATGAAATTCAGACCTGTATAATTTCTAAAATAAAAGCTTTAAATACTGCTCACGCAAAGCAGGGTTTTAAATATTTTTTACCCTTTACTCATTGTTCCTTTTTATTTTCAACAGCTAACGATGAATGGGCACTCTCTTATCCATGTTTGGTTGATAGTTTTCTGCCTAAACATCATCTGTTGGTTTTAAGAGGTTAATTGACCTTTTATGATTTCCAACATTTTCTGTGATTACTTATGCTCTTGGTATTGCATTTTAAAAAATGATGTGTAACTACGTATATTTATAGATATGACTCTGTGAGGTAAATGGATCTCAGCTTGTTCACTAGGTTTTTCTTTGAAAAACTTGACATGTTTAAAAGAGCCAAAATAGTATTCTTTAGCTTTAGGGTGGTATTAAATTAAAGAACTTTGCTCCATTTACACAGAGTAGTTTAATCCTTATTAAACCTTAATTTAGTGTCAATTTGAATTAAGTGTTCCTGCATAAAAGGGCCTCTAGTGGCCTGGATGCTGTTAAATTCAATCAGCATCCAGATCAGTATGTGACGCCTGTATTCCTCAAGTAACACACAGGCAGGAACAACTGCCATTGTAAATTACAAAATATTAAACTTCATTAAATGATCATACATAAGTTTGTCCTTTTTGGGTCCATCAGCCTTGGATGGAAGTGAAAAATAGAAATGTATTCAGATTTAAATATGAGTAGTGGTTTACACTGAAAGAAAGATGTATGCATTAAATTTAAAACAGGAAGATTTAGAAAGAAAGGCAGGCTTCCATTTAAATAGTTCTGATGAGAGGTCACTGGACTCTAAATGTTAACGCTACTTTTCTCTGTACAGACCTGCTGCGTTCCTCCAGCACTTTCTGTCTTTGTTTCAGTCTCCAGCGACTGCAATTCTATGTTTTATTTTATTCTGTATAAATAGCACTTTTCACAACCAAAAGGACTTCCCTAAACAAATTAGTCACTGTAATATAGAAAACCTGGAAGCCAAATTGCACCCAGTAATGTCCCATGCACAGTAATAAGTTCATGATCATATAGCTATCCATTTCTAGTGTTCCGTCTGTGATAAATATTGACCAGGAAACTAGAGAAACTCCCCTGTCTTCTTTGAAACAGCCCTTTGGGAATTTAGAGGGTTTAGTGTTTCATCCAATAGATTTTTTTTCCTCTATTCATATGGGTGTCACTGGCCAGGTCAACATTTGTTGTCTATTCCAGAATTTGTCCAGTCTTTGGGAAGGTGATGATTAGCAACTGACTTCAACCATTGAAGACGTGTAGGTACATTTACAATACTGTTAAAGATGGGTATGCAAATTTTGACTCCGGATGGTATGCATGCCTTGGAGGGGAAGTCACCAGCGGTGGTGTTCCCAGGCACCTTTTCCTTATCTGTTTATGGGAGGTGGGTGTTGTTTGCTATGTCAGAATTTATTGTCCATCCCAAGTTGCTCAGAGGGCAGCCAAGGATAATCACTTATCCTTGAGGGTTACGAATAACAGGTAGGCCATATAGCATGGCATATTTCCCTCCTAGAGGGCATTATTGATCTAATTTTTTGTGAAAATGAACAGGGGTTATATAGTCACCTTTGGGCGAGTTTTTAATTCCACAATTTTATTGAATTCAAATTTCACAATCTCCAATGTAGGATTTGAGCTCGTGGTACAGATGGATATGGGTCTTCTGGTATAGCAAGCAACTAGAGAAGCAAATGGAAATTGTTGTTTAGTGTAAGTGGAACGGAATATCAAAATATTAAAGTTTTGCTTGAATTATGCAGGGTTTGGTGAGAAATCAGCTGGAGAACAGCGTGTAATTTTGGACTCCTTATTTATGAATAGATGTAATTGCATTTGAGACAATGTTGAGTCGATTGGCTTGATTGATGTGTGGGATTGTTTTATGAAGAAAGGTTGGACAGGATGGGTCTGTATCCATTGGAATTTAGAAGAATGGGAAGGTGGTAGAATAATAGTGATGTCATTGGACTAGTAATCCAGCACTAATATTTTGGGGGCATAGGTTCAAATCCCACCATGGAAGATGGTGAAATTTGAATTCAATAAAAAGCTAGCTTAATGACCATGTAATTAATGTTGTTGAGAGGCAATCTTACTAAAATACATAAGATCCTGATGGCTCCTAATAAGGGGATCGCTGAAAAGTTGTGACAAAGACAGAGACTTCGAATGAGGGAAAGTCCTTTAAAAATTGAGGTTCTCTCATTTAAAATGGAGATGAGGATATTTTCTTCTCGGTAGTTGATAATCTGTGGAAGTCTTTGCTCCACAGAGTAGTGAAATAAGGATTATTGAATACATTTAAGGCTCAATTATACATTCTTGGCTGACCAGGATATAGTGTGTAGAAAGCAAAATAGAAGTCTCAATCAGGTCAGAAAATATTTTATCAAATGGCAGAGCAGCCTCTAGGAGATGAATGTCATATTCCTGATTCATATGTTCATGTGACTCATGGATGCAGTAAAAAGATTGATAATTATTAGCCTTTATACATTATTTTTGCCCAGTTTGTGATAGAAGCAATCCTTCTGGAAGAAGGGGTTGTGGTAAATTACTTCTCAAGTTCTGGCACTTTGCCCAATGTGTTTTGTGTCTGAATATTCTGGATGCATACTTCATGAAATTGAAATTTGCATGCGATAGTTTTGTTGAAGTTTGAAAGGTTTTCATTTTGTGTCTACTTGGGAAATCTATCAGTAACCATGTCTTGTGGATTTGATTTTTGTATTTTGTGTGATTTACTTTCTAATGATGCATTTAAAAAATTACTGTTAATATTGAAAGATGATCATTTAATGTTGCCATACAATGCTGCTATCTCCTGTTTACATGGAGGATTGAACCTATTTAAAATAAACGGGGCAGTGTCATTGATCAGCTAGCATCAACTCCAGTAATTTCTAGGCTGTATATCCTGAATGTTTCATCTACTGTGCATGTAAAATAATTCTCTATTTCTGTATATATCTTAGCCATTCTACAAACCACACATTTTGGAACTACCATTCAGGAAAGCCAGACAGCTGTGGGACATGCTAGTGTAGTAGGATCGGAGATGAGGTTTATTGCTTGTTAACAATAGAAGGATCTTTATTTCTTATATACCTTGCATATGACTAGAGGTCTTAATACTGATGCATGACTGTTCATCAGGACAAATTGGTTTAACAAAAAGAAAGATTTTCTAAGAAGAATGAAGCATATGGCATTTAAAAGAAATTCTAGAAACATAGCATCTAAATATACCAGCTAGAGACAGGTCTCTAATGTGTAGATATTATATTGTTTAATGGTTATTCATATGTTTTATTTCCTTCCAGCACTGTAACATCTGCTGTCTTTACTGTGGGAGATAATGTTGTATCTGGCAGCGATGACAGAACTGTAAAAGTCTGGGATCTAAAGAATATGCGATCTCCTATAGCAACAATTCGTGCTGACTCAGCAGTCAACAGGTAAATGATTTTAAATTTATTTATATGTGATAAATCATAATTGGCCACGAATGGAATGAGTTCTTTTTCCCTTTCCTAAGTTGATCATTCACCATTCATTCCCTTGTGCTCATTTCAAAAAACATAGTACACACTCAAGTCCTCTGCTGCTTCTGGGATGCTATGGTTAGGATACTAAGTTAAAGATGAAGGTTGCTGTTAATATTTTAATAAATAGCAATTACACTCCAGAAAGGTGGTCGTATTTGATTTATGATCTGAAAATTTTCAGAACTTTGTGCTTAATTCCTCCTTGCACTGTTCCAACGTGCTCAATCTGACTCTTCCCTTAAACCATATAACCATCCAGCATCTCTGTATTCCTCCAATTCTGGCATCGTATATTATCTCCCAATGATTAATCATTCCACCATTGGTGATCATGCTTTCAGCTGCATATGCTTTAAATTCTGAAATTCCTTCCATTAACTTTTCTACCTCGTTACATGTCTGTCCTCATTTAAAATGCTCCTTAAAACATACTACTTTGATCATTAGTAGCTTTGTGCCAAACATAGATAATATTCCCATGAAGGTTTTATTACATTAAAGATGCAGGTTAACTGTGAGTTGGTAATAGAATTTAGTGATGTCACAAACCCAACTATGTTGTGTAAAATTTATAGGTAACAACTGTGGTATGGTTAACATTCTCACTCCTTGAGCATCATTCAGAACTGGACGGTATTTTAGGTGAACCCCTTTCAATTCATAGTTTTTTAAGGGAGAATCATTGAGTCGAAGTTCTGATGAAGACGGAAATGGAAAAGCACCATAATTCTTATGAACTTCCTGGCTGTAGTTAATTTATTTAAATTCTAGTTTATTCAGTTTTCAAATTTTTAAATCTAATACCAAAACCTGACTTGTCATTTTAGCTTGAAGAGATAAACTAAGTTGCTATTGTATCCTTGCTCTGGTAGTGAGGGAAGATAATTATTGTGAGAGTGGAATTAAATTCTGATCATTCATGCCTACATCATTTGAGAATTTTAAGGTTACATGCTAGTATATATTCACAATACTCTTTGCATTTCTGTTCTGTTTTGTATTGGAGAGACAAATGTTTAATTGTTTCCCATGCCTTAAAGAAGGAAGAATACTATCAACACTTCTTGAAATTTTCAGTTTTTCAGGTAAAACAAATTTAATCTTTCATCAAAGCTGTCAACTTCGGATTTACATATAGGTGGCAAGGCTCATGAGTTTGTTTACATGAACTCCTGGCTTTACGTACTTTGCAAATTCCAAAAGGGAAATATTCCCCAGGCCATGATGACACAGGAGGAAAATATCACTACAAGGGTTCAGAATTGATAAGGAAGAAGGGTTGGATGGATTGTTGGTACTTAAAGTTGTCAAGGTACCAGCATTGAACGAGAGATATCCAAGGATTTTGAAGGAAATGAGAGTGGATATTGCAGGGATTGACCATAATCCTCCAATCCTCCCTCAATTCTAGGAAGGTGCCAGATGACTGGAAAATTACAAACATTATGGCCTTCTTCAAGTAAAGTTGAAAGGATAATCACAGCAATTACAGACCAGTCATTTTAATTTCAGTGATGGGGAAGCTTCAAGAGACAATTATTTGGGATAGAATTAGTAGTCACGTGGAAAATGGTGGGTTGATTGCGAAGAGTCCGTATGGATTTCTGATGGATGCTTAACTAAATTGCTGGAGTTTTTTTGATGAGGTAACAGGCTCGATGAAATTAATGCTGTTGATATGATGTATATGGACTTCAGAATGCTTTTGATCTGGTAGACACAACAGATTTGTGAGGAGGAGACAGTATGGACTGCAGATGCTGGAAGCTAGAGTCAATAAATACGGACTTGGAAAAGCACAGCCAGTCAGACAGCATCCGAGGAGCAGGAAAGTCAACGTTTCAGGCTGAAACCCTTAATCGTTTGTGAGAAGTATGAGACAGGAGCAGGAGTACGCAATTCAGCCCCTCGAGCCTGCTCCATTGTTTCAGAAAATAATGGCTCTTCGCAGTCTCAACTCTACTTTCCTGCCCACTATCCGTAACCTTTCAGCCCATTACTAATTGAAAATGTTGTCTCTCTTTAAATTTACTCCATGTCCCAGTATCCACCACACTCTGGCTTAGTGAATTCCACAGATTCATGCCTCTTTGTGAGCAGTAATTTCTCCTTATTGCTGTTTAAAGTGTGCTACCTGTCGTAAAACTATGACTTCTTGTTCTAGATTGCCCCTCGTGAGGAAGTATCCTCTCTCTGTTTACTTTGTCAATCCTCTTTAGCATCTTGTATACTGAAATTAGGTCTGTGCTCATTCGTCTAAACTCCCGAATGCATAGGCCTAAACTGCTCAAACTCTTCATAAGATACTTGTGTTTAACACACGTTTCACAGCATTTTTCATTCACCCGTGTATTCACTGACCCTCCCTGTCCAACAGAATCGCAATTTTGAAATTGTCACCGCAGTTTTCAAATTCCTCTATGTCCTATATCCTCTTTATCTCTGTAATTTCCTCCAGCTCTGCAGGTACAATCGGGGATTAGATACAGTGTAAAGCTCACTCTACTTTTTTTTTTAAACTGAAGGTAAATCTTCCTCCACATTGTCCCCATCAAATAGTCTCAGGACAGGGACAGCACAGAGTAAAGCGGCCTCTACACTATCCCCAATAAACACTCCTCTCCCCCACAGAACGTGCAGCCCTCCGCTCCCTCCGCTCCAATCCCAACCTCACCATAAAACCCGCGGACAAGGGAGGCGCAGTTGTAGTATGGCGCACTGACCTCTACATCGCCGAGGCCAGACGCCAACTCTCCGATACCTCCTCCTACCGCCCCCTTGATCATGACCCCACCCCTGAGCACCAAACCATCATCTCCCAAACCATCCACAACCTCATCACCTCAGGTGACCTCCCACCCACGGCCTCCAACCTCATCGTTCCCCAACCTTGCACTGCCCGCTTCTATCTCCTTCCCAAAATCTACAAACCTGAATGCCCTGGTCGACCCATTGTCTCCGCCTGCTCCTGCCCCACCGAACTGATCTCCAACTATCTGGACTCCATTTTCTCCCTCTTGGTCCAGGAACTCCCTACCTATGTCCGTGACACCACCCACGCTCTCCACCTCCTCCAGAACTTCCATTTCCCCGGTCCCCAACACCTCATCTTTACCATGGACATCCAGTCCCTCTACACCTGCATTCCCCGTGCAGATGGCCTCAAGGCCCTCCGCTTCTTCCTGTCCCGCAGGCCCGACCAGTCCCCCTCCACTGACACCCTCATCCGCTTAGCCGAACTCGTCCTCGCCCTCAACAACTTCTCTTTCAATTCCTCCCACTTCCTACAGACAAAGGGGGTAGCCATGGGTACCCACATGGGCCCAAGCTATGCCTGCCTCTTTGTAGGTTACGTGGAACAATCCCTCTTCCGTACCTACACCGGCTCTAAACCCCACCTCTTCCTCCGTTACATTGATGACTGTATCGGCGCCGCCTCGTGCTCCCACGAGGAGCTCGAACAGTTCATCCACTTCACCAACACCTTCCACCCCAACCTTAAGTTTACCTGGACCATCTCTAACACCTCTCTCCCCTTCCTGGACCTCTCTGTCTCCATATCGGGCAACCACCTAGAAACCGATATTCATTTCAAGCCCACCGACTCCCACAGCTACCTAGGATACTCCTCCTCCCACCCACCTTCCTGCAAAAATGCCACCCCCATTCCCAATTCCTTCGCCTCCGCCGCATCTGCTCTCAGGATGAGGCATTCCACTCCCGTACATCTCAGTTGTCCTCGTTTTTCAAGGACTGTAACTTCCCCCCCCCTCAGTGGTCGAGAACGCCCTCAACCGTGTCTCCCACATCTCCCGCAACTCAGCCCTCACACCCCGTCCACGCAATAAGAACCAAAAAAGAATCCCCGTCGTCCTCACGTACCACCCCACCAACCTCCGGATCCAACGCATCATCCTCCGACACTTCCGCCATCTGCAATCCGACCCCACCACCAAAGACGTCTTTCCCTCCCCACCCTTATCTGCTTTCCGGAGGGACCACTCTCTCCGTGACTCCCTTGTCTGCTCCACACTCCCCTCCAGCTCCACCACACCCGGCACTCTTCCCTGCAACCGCAGGAAGTGCTACACCTGCCCCTCATACCTCCTCCCTCACCCCCATCCCAGGCCCCAAGAAGACTTTCCACATCAAGCAGATGTTCACCTGCACATCTGCCAATGTGGTATACTGCATCCGCTGTACCCGGTGTGGCTTCCTCTACATCGGGGAAACCAAGCGGAGGCTCGGGGACCGCTTTGCAGAACACCTACACTCGGTTCGCAATAAACAACTGCACCTCCCAGTCGCAAACCATTTCAACTCCCCCTCCCATTCCTCAGACGACATGTCCATCCTGGGCCTCCTGCAGTGCCCCAACGATGCCACCCGAAGGTTGCAGGAACAGCAAGTCATATTCCGCTTGGGAACCCTGCAGCCCAATGGTA